CAAAGGAGTAATATCAACAACAAGCGTAGTTTTTTCAAACACTCTAAATGCTCGAATGATGTCTTTTTCTGTAGCTTTTGCGCCTTGCATAAGTGAAAGAAACAGGGTCTTGGAAAATGCAGTTGAGAATGATTCATTTACAATGGTGTAAAAAGCATGGCCCTCGGGTGATAAAGTTGCTGATCCGATTGCTTGCTGTGCAGTATAGCCACTCTGACATTCTTCACCATCCGCAGAATCTACTGTTGATGCACGATGGTGAAGTAACTCTGATGGTATGGTATTCAAGACACTTTCTGCATCAGATGCAGGCACATCTAATCGCGTATAATCATGTTTCTCTGCTACTTTGTGCTTCCCACCACTTGATAGAATAAAGCCTTGGGGGAGTCGAACAAATCTTCCAACATCGTCACATTGAAGTTGAGCTACACACCAAGGCATTGCCGGCTTGGTATACGACAAAAGTTTTTGAGTGGGTATTTGCTGTGATAACAGTAATGATTCAGTCGTTTTGGTAGTCTGTACACATTCGAATAAACTGATGGAAAAGTAATGAATCTCTGTTGAACTGGATATTGGCCCTGAAAAAAACATATCAGTAGCAGTCGAAACAGAGCCTTGGTTTACCTGTGCCAACGAACCAGGATTTAATGGATCGTATATATGAAGCACAGCAAATATCAACCGATCTGGACTAAGATACTTGATATAGCAAACAGACTCTTCCAATTTTCTAATCAAAAACACTGATCCGTGAATAAACTGCTTGTGAATAGCTGTGCGCATTATCTCAAGAAGATCTGGCTGAATGCATGCACGGGAGTTTAAACCACCGGATGCATCAAAGGGCCATTTGAGCGCAACATCCGTTATCTGTAGCAATGATTTGGCTAAAAACCCATACAACACAGTGTTCGATCTTGCAGTTTGAGTCATATCGCTGGTTATCACAGATATTGGGATAGGACATCCATCGGTTAGCAATTCGCCATCATCAAGTATTCCGCCCAAAGCAGTGATGTTTCGAGAATTAAGCAAAGACCCAATGCAATAGCTATCATGTATCGATCCATGAGGCTCGCACCAATCCAATGGAATAGCAGCAAGATCATTAAACTCGAGAGTAGGATTACTCGGTACACATATTCCATTCACGGTTGGGTCTTCATCGCAACCGTCATCAATGGAAAGAACGTGATACACACACATTACAAACGAGGAATTGTATAATAGTGCAGGCAGATAGAACTGGGTTGGCACAATCTGACTGTGGTTGGGATCGTGTGCACTTTGCAATCCATTAACTGTGGTATCATCAAGCAGTTTGCGCTCAAGTACAATACCGTTTCTTAGCTCTTGCACATATTCAAATACAAAAATACGCCCTAGCAAATTTCGATCCTATCAAATAAAACAAGAAAGCTTAGCTAAATACTCGTGCAAATGCGATTCAACAATCAACACTAACCTGATTACCAATACACTTGACAAAATTTTCATAATATTCACTGTAGACTTCCTCACCAGATATAGAGCTATCATGAACCATAACAAGAGGCTCAACCCACAATTCGGTA